ATGAGGCTACGGAGTTGAACATTAGTAGTCGTAAACACAAAATTGGGTCAGCTGTTCAACGACGGTTATAAAATATAAAATAAGAATATTTAAAAAAAAAAAAATCACGATTCTTTTTCGTATTATTTTTTTATGCATGGATACATATTTTCTTTTACAAACATTACGTTAAAAAATTGTACGATAATAAATGTCATATAAAAAAAACTTTTTTCATTACCAAGCAGAAAGATAAAATAAATAAAAGACAAAGAGAGAAATGAACAAGTCATTAAATAATTAGTCGCTTTTGAATGACACCTTCAAAAAGCCGTGTTGGAGGTGTGCTGAGTAATTAAAGAACGCGTGCTCTGCCCTCTTTTGTATTCTGTGCTTGCCTTCCGCGGAAACTCTCCTTCGAAAGTGATGACAAGGTCGAGGGGCCGACAATCCCCCCTCCCATACTAATTCTAGCACCCATGTACTCACTTATTAAGAGAGGGGGGAAAGAAGGAGATGATTTTGTTCGATAATCATAGAAAAAGAGGGTGAGAGAAACATGTTCAGGGGAGATGAAAGATGGAATTTTCCGCCAAGAGAATTCCGCGCTGAAGCTGCAAATGGAAGCCAGGCCACAGACATAAATGGGATTTGTTTGAGTGGGTCGAAGCCAAGGGGAGTATCGTTAAAGAGGGTTCATTTCTTTTCTTGTAGAAGTCAGTGGATTTATATGGTTTCCTTTGATAGAGAAAATCTACGGTATTAAAAGTATTTAAAGGAAAAGGGGTCTTATCACATTATAATCAAATGAATTTTTTTGAAAAAATAATAATGATAAAAATGTACAGTGAGCAATTTTAATAATTTTTGATCGAATGATTGGATTTTTAATTACGGATATGCAATAATTTAAATAGATGGCATTTTAAGTTACGCAATCAGACGTTAAAACGTACTTTCTTTAAGGAATCGTAATTTTTTTTTTAACATATAAATTCTAGTCTCTCTAAAATATAGGGGTATCAGCGATCCCTAAAAAAATAGTACGAATGGATTAATCTGGAGGGTAAGAGAATAAATAAATACACTGAAGAGCCAAAAAAACTGGTATACCTGCCTAATATCGTGTAGGGTACNAATTTAATTTATTAAATAGATAAGAAAGTATAACCAAATCAAAAGTTTAATATAATTAATATCAGAACACATTAGTAATAGACAAGATATCAAAATAAAAATTTTAAATGAAAATAATCAATTATTGAAAATGAAATATAATACGTAACACTAAATTATATATTAAAATAACTCAGTAGCTTTTATCATCAAGTAAACTTTTTTTACATCAACTAAATTTCTGATAAATTGAAGGACATATTTAATTCTTAATTAGAAAATATTCTTAATTGTTGAATATTTTTCCTTCCATGCATACTTTAAGAGAAATGTCTCAGTTTAACAAAACAAAAATATATGATATAAATCAAATAGGTAGATTTTTTTTCATAAGAATTTTTTAAATCAACAATCCTACTCATAAGTCATGATCACTTTAAGAAGATAGAGATTTTATTTATTTACATTGCGAACAATTTTAAATACAATTACAAGACGTAATGTAATTTATATTTTTATCCAACTTCTTCTGGGCTAGATTATTCTTTCAGGATGATACCACTACAATTCATTTATCACAAAAAGAACTAGGACAATTTATTACAGGTTTCCAGCCAACAATAGTTTTTATAAGTACTTCTTAGTATAAAACAGGAACCACATAGATCACCTAGAATAACACAAAAATAAAACATATTAAGATATACATAATCCCATATATTTGATAAGCAGATTAAAACTACTACTAATCAATAAACACTATCTAAATTACTTTGATTTAAATTGTTCGATTTTAAATATAAATGGAATTTTTTACAAATAAGTAAGCTGGATAAAAAAAGAAGTCTTTTAAGGAATGAGAAAATAGATATCTAGGTTTTTTAATTGGGGTGAGGATTTTTTTAAAAATCATTCATATACTTCAATATCGCATTATTTATCTTCGAAGGGATAGCAGAGAACAATTTTAAACTATACCTATATCTGATAATGAATATCATAAAATATTTGATAGCAATTAGTGCAAAGCAACTCGTGAAACTAAAATATTAAATAGAAAGATCTAATGAATGTTATATTTTTNAAGGAATGTTATATTTTTAAAAAAAAGAAATCGAACTAAAAAAGCGAAAAACATGTCATAAAATTCCAAACACTAACTCAATAAAATGATCAACATGCATTTCAATGTTTTTATATTTATTACAGAATTCCATACCTTTTAATTACACCATAAAATCCGTGAATAACTGCATAAAATCTGTGGCAAAACAAATAAAGAATATTAATTTTTTAAAAATATGAAAGAAGTTCATCGTATTTCATGGATACAAGCATGTTTAGAAATGGCAGACAGCTGTCTGTTCGGAATCGTTCGTAAAATTCCACTACCGATTAAACTCGGAAGATTGCGCAATATTTGAGGCCCTCACATCTCAGGATTACAAACGCGTCCACTGTACCAAACAGATGTCAGGGTGAA